GTGTACTGACAGACCTAAAGGTTTTGCACCACACCGTTGTGCTGATGTGTCTCTATTTCTCCTTATTGGCTTACCAGAGTCATATTATAAATTCAATCAACATGTTTCTATCATTTTCCCTCTTTTTGAATTCCCTTTTGATACTTATTAACACACACACTCTCTCTCTCTCTCTCTCTCTCTGTCTTTCCTTATTGTGGAGACGTGTTGTGAAATGTGCTTGTAGGTTTAGGATAAACCGCCCTGCATTTGCTGGAGACATACCAAACGAGTGGAATTAAATGGCTGCTCTTTGGAGTTGGATTCTCCTCAGAACGGGAATGTCGGGCTCTCCAGCAACCACTAATAATTCTCAGATCGCTGGGCTGGCCGCATGTCCTTGCGGCCTCTCGATGCCTCCCTCATTCAGCTTTCTGACAAGGGTATGAGGGAGAAAACTCCAACATGCTCTGTTTTCTTTTGCAGAAGGATGGAAGCATGGAATTCTGACTCTGGGATTATGTGCTTGGCCTGGCAACCCAAGTCATGAGAGATAAAACTTGAAAAATTCAAATAACTCACTCAAATCTGCCTAGTTCATAAAAAATGGTAATCAAGCTTCCACCTCTTTATGAGACGAAAATGAATCTGAGTGAGAAAAATTCACAAATTTCCCTGATGTTTGGCTAGACATGCAGGCACTATAAAATCACACAGCCATAGGAAAACGTTAGGATAAATGTTTGCTTTGGCTTGACGTAGAGCCGTGGAGAAAATGCCTTAAGAATGGTTTGGATGAAGGACACTAGCAGAGTGTGTTCTCGATGTCTCTGCTGATGTAATTGTCTTAGCAGACATGATTGAAGCAGTATTTTTGTTTGGAAAGATCTGAGGAGGAGAAAGTTGATGAGGAGGTAATAAGGAGACCTGAGAACGTCTCGGTTACGTATGGTAAACAAGAGGACCAGCTACTGCTGCTATGGCACTACCCAATCAGTAAGACTGGGTAACACTGGGAAAACGTACCCATTCCACTTGGGACAGGGACAAATCGCATGCCAATGTGCATTGGCTCGTTTAGTTTACACTCGAAGTAGATTGGTCTCTCTAAGCGAGATCCCAATTCGTCGGTCATCCGACGTGACGTCGGGAGTGACCGACTGAAAGGGAACTATAGCTTTCATTCAGCTGTTACAGTTCTACTGAGGAACCAGATGAGGTTTGTATGAGGGACTCTACTATCTCAGCTGTAAACATGTCATCCAACACATCATCCTGTTTAACTCAACAAATACCCAACGAGATTTTGCAATTGGGTTTTGGATAATTGTGGAAAATAAGTTCTGTGACCAACAAAATTGTATGATTCTTACACATTTTGTTAAATTAACTTGGCTTTTTATGAATTTTTACACCTAAATACAATCATTTACAAAGTAAAAATACTTTGTATCATACACAAATACACAAATAAAAAGCTAATCGTAGGCTATAAATGAACTACACCACGGTCACATTAAAACGTTGCCACCATTAAACTTCAAACAACTCTTTCAGTCTATATTTATAACATTTTCCCTCAAATCTTGTGTTAGAATAGTTTGTAAGGGCACGATTATGAACACGAGGCTGCAAAAGCAACTGTTGAGTAGATGAGTTTACCTGTTAGACGTGATGATGTTTAAAGTCCCCGACAAACAATGTAGTCCCATTTAGACACTTGTTAGAAACAAGTGTTCAAGACAATTAAAAACTTTTTAAAATCACAAGGGAGTGTTGGTGATGTATTTTATGTTGTAGAATTAATTGTGAAAATATCTTGAGCTTAAATGTGTGAACCACAGGCCTTATTTCAGGCATTTAACCAAGAAAACATAAAAAAAAACTCATTGACTTCAGGACAAAGGAAGTGGAAGTGTTAAAATGCTAACTGTTTCCTACACTGTAAAAAAATAATAATAAATTGCCAGGAATTTACAGGATTAAAGAATATTATTTTACATATATTAGAGTTGTCAGAAATTTGCTGTGAAATCAATGCATGCTGGGTCATTTTCTTACAAATGACTGCGAATGAACAGCAGAATGATGCTAACATCACAGTAATATACTGTGAATTCACATTATAAAGTGTGCCACTGTGAGAAATTTAGTTGTTTACTACTGTAATTGTTTTGAAGTCACCATAATGGTGATTGGTGACCCCATTTGTTTGGGCTCTTTGACCTTGCATGTTCATATTCAAATTTCTGATCTAGTCATGTCAGAAGTGTGACAAATGAAAACATTTGTTAAAATGATGACAAGCTAGAATATGAAATAAGCTACCTGCTTGGTTTTTAAGATTTTAACTCTACAGCATTATCTATTCATGCTGCATTTCATGCTGGGTGCCTTCAAAGTACATATGCACTGTAGAAACACAGTATGATGCTGTTTGTTTACAAGAAATTTCTGAGAGTGCAGTTGGAAACAAGAGAAGTGCCGGTAACACTTTATTTTAGGGTCTCTTAACTAGTTGCTTATTAGCATGCACATTTACTAGAATATTAGCCATAGTACTAATTAAGCACATATTAATGCTTTATTCTACATCCCCAATCCTACCCAATACCTAAACTTAACAACTACCTTACTAACTATTATTAAGCAGCAAATTAGAAATTTATTGAAGGAAAAGTCGTAGTTAATAGTGAATAAGTGCTCCCTATTCTAAAGTGTTGCCACTGTGAAATTACTGTGAAAGTAATGCAATTATTAACCTGGAGTATACTGTAATTTCACACTAAAGTTTTTAACAGTGTAGTTTTGGCCTACAAATCATACCTAATCCCTGCAGCATCTCCATCCAGGAAATTAAACCATCTCATAAATTAGACCAATATTTAAAAAATAAATAAAATTGCTGCACATTAATCTAGAATTCAGGTGATTGTGTGATAGAATTGATTGGCTGTGCACCCTTGGGTTTAGAAACATCCAATCAGATTTTAGAGACAAAACAATAATAGCAGAGTAAGCACTGTCAGATTACACATGTTCTGTCTGCTCAGACTAACCTTTAAAATGTTCATTCTTTATCCCGCCAGCAGGGGCTTCAGCTCTCAGGTAAAGGCAGTACACAAAATTCACTGCTAACCTCCTTTATTTCAACTACTGTCTTTTTGTGATTTATCGCCTCCTTTTCTCTTCCTCGCTGTGGTTATGGGCCTGGGTTTCCCTTCTTGGTACCGCTCCCTGTTTTCCATGCAAACACACATTAAACTCACTCTTTTCCTTAGATTCCAGAGCCACAGGATTCAATCTGGACAGCCATACTTTACATTCCGAGGGTCAGGAAGGCATCCCACACTACCTGTTGCTGTGGTGACGGCGGTCCCGTCTGATTGGATGGTTTGTGTAGTGAGAGGTTAATGATACTCCTGAAGTCAGGGTGGAAACCAGTGTCACCATCCACACACACACACACACACACACACACACACACACACATCCACCGAGGGGCACAGGAAACCAACAGACTCATAAAGAGAATAATTAGAAACACACAAATATACACACTGTGATACTCTGTGTGTGACGTGGTGTTCTCTATCACCGCTGATAAAATAAAAAATTCCAGGACGTTCTTGCAGTCTGCGGTCAGCATGTGTCGTGGATTCGGCTGCCAGCGTGGGTTGACACAGAACGGGATGTTCCGTCACGCCCGTGGGGGTTGCCGCAGGAACTCCTTTTTCCCGAGGGAACGCAGCCAGGCTTGGGGAGTCAATGTAGGCATTTTGGGAAGGTTGAGGAGACGGGGAAAGATAAACAGAGGACGCGAGATCCCACAGTTGGAACGGATGCGGCAAATACTGATTCAGAAGCCTCACACACACCACTTCAAAACCCTTCTCACACGCCCTCACAACTATGCTGATGATGCCGAGTGTGTATTCAGTAGGTTGTTTTATTGTCACATTGTTGTATACTTACAATACCTTATGCCACTAATGCAACCTACTGAATACACTGATTAGCTTGTATTATCTTTGGAATTAAGAGCTAATCAGTGTATTCAGTAGGTTGCATTAGTGGCATAAGGTATTGTAAGTATACAACAATGTGACAATAAAACAATGCATTTACTTTTTACTTTTGATACTTAAGTACTTTTAAAAGCATGTACTTTCGTACTTTTACTTAAGTAAAAACCTGTCTTTACAACTTTCACTTGTAGTGGAGTAGTATTTGACCAGTAGTATCTGTACTTTCACTCAAGTAATGCAGTTGTGTACTTTGTTCGCCTCTGGTTAGAAGTCCCGGTTGCTATAGTAACAGTCAGCATTCTGAAGACGTGCGCTTAGGACTGCGCATGCGCACTGGCTAGTCTAGCCTGAATAATAAGCTTTTTTTAAACACTATTTGAGCAAAAGAAACAACATTTATGAGACAGTTGTTGTCAGATTTCATTGGTGATTTCAAATATGAAATTTAATCATACGTTTGGTGAACAGTTTTGGAGAATTTGATGTTTCCACATTCAAAGAGAGAGGAGCTGCGCTTGCATGCCCGAGAGGCGTTTCAAAGATGGCCGCCGAGTGAAATGACTTGCCTTAAAGGGACTTTGTTATTACCGAGCATTACTGTCTGAACCCTGACAGGGGGCCCCTGGTGGTCACGGGGCCCTCTGCAACCGCTTACATAGCTTATTAGGTCGGGCTGGCTCTGACTGTTCACTATTAACTAGCTGCTTATTAGCATGCATATTACTAGCATATTGGCTGTTTATTAGTACTTATAAAGCATGCATTAATGCCTTATTAGGCATGGCCATATTTTAGATCCCTTAATCCACCCCATACCTAAACTTAACAACTACCTTACTAACTATTAATAAGCAGCAAATTAGGAGTTTATTGAGGGAAAACTCTTAGTTAATAGTGAATATGTGTTCCCTATTCTAAAACTACTCTCTTATCCATACTTATTTTCAAACTATTGATCCTACATAAGGAGTAGGAGCAGTTCAGAAGCAGAATTTGTGCATTTGGCTCGGGATCTCTTGACTTAATGAGTAATTACTTTTCTATCCAAACCCACACGGAGGCTTTAATTATGCTATAACCAATGGTAACCAGATTTAGAGAACAATCATTAACCGGAGCATGTCTAATCAAGTATCAAAGCACATCCGATTCCTCCGACACCAACCATTTACCAAGAATCAAATGTTTATAATTAACTAAAGCAAATGTGATCAGGGCAGAAGCACTGTCTTCGGTATCCCACAGAGCACTGCAACATGTCTCCCGCAGATGGACGGGGCAGGGTCGGGAAAAATGTTTATTTAACCGAAAAGAAAAAAAAAACCAACAGACTGACCAGATTAGTGATATCAGTGATTCAATCGTTCATTCATCCAAATGAAATGCAAACTTAGAACCGCAAGATGTTAATCTGGCAATCAAACACAAACCTCATGTGAACCTGAACGCTGAAAATATAAAATGATAAATATTGGATAATAAAGTTAAATGCAAACAACAAACTTTACTCTCAACATTGGCACGTCATGTTCTTTGGTCACGCAACATCTCTTAACATTTGTGAAAAACATCTGCGATCTGATATTGACATACAAAAGGACAAACATCAACAGAAAAAATGAAATGGATCAATATGATGGCTATACTTTGCTCTGTACAATTGCACATGCTTTCCTCCTATTTGAATCTGAACCTGCAGCCATGATTAAACACCATTTAATCAGACTGATCAGTTGTGTGATAAAGTGTTAAATGTCCGAAGGAAATATAGCGGTTCTGAACATGTAGATAATGCAGATCTTTGGAATGAGCGTGGCCACTTAGAGGACACTAATGCTTTTGAAAATGTCTGTTGTTTCTACCCTGTGTATGAATGCATTCTCTGTGTAATGGTTTTATGTATGGCTTGAGTGGATGTGAATATGTTTGTGTCTATCCCTCTGTCTCTCCGTGGACGTTCTCCATGTGGACTTTGAGGTAGTCGTTGCGGGTGAACTTCTTGTGGCACAGGGAGCATTCAGCCATGGGTCTGTTGGGATTGTGGGTCAGTTTGTGTCTGATCAACATCTTCTTCAAACTAAAGGACAGGTCACACACCTACAAATACACAAACACACAAAGAATTAACAATAACAATGGCAACACATTAATAAAACATATAATAAAACAATAAAACATGGGCAAAAAACATTGAGGTATTTGAGATTAAAAATAAATAAAATTGCCAGTACCTCTGCAAAATATGCCGCATGACTGTTGAAGCTCTAAAATTACTGACAATAAACTGGAAAATGGAAATAAATAAAACTTAAATTTAAACTTAAATAGTAATATAAAAAAAAAAGATTTAAAACATGACAAAATGACAGAGTAAAATTAAAACAAAAAAACAAAAATATATAAACAAAAGCTAATTCAAATATTAATACAAACTATAACAGTATATGATAATACTAAATTAACACTCATTCTCTTCTTGCATGGAAATAAATAAAAAGTAAAACTAAAATAAATGCTGAAGACCCTTAACATACCTCCTGTTTATATTTTTTCATACCTGTAGGCTTACATTGAAGAAAGGTCATATTCAGAGACTAGAATATCATTGAGACATGAAATGAAGGCCACTGGAGTGAGCTTTTGACTTAAACTAGTAATCATTCACCAAGCAACCATCTTGAAACCATTTAGCAACACGCTAAAAAGCACTTCAGCCACTACATAAGCAATGGCATTATGGCCTGGCAAACCTACATTGTGGCTGTGACTTTTCCAGGACAGGACATAATAAATTAGTCTAGTAGCCATAAGTGGATTTATGTTACATAACCCATGAAAAAGATCCATGAGAGGACGGTTTTTATTTTGGCATTTCACATGTTGCGAAACAGCTCTGGTTTACAGACTTCATGCTGTAATGTTGTATGTGTTAGCATGACTTCATGCCCTGCGACCGCAGAGAGGATGTGAAGGCAATGCTCAATACATCAGAGCAGACACACAAACAACCAATAACTGAAGCAATAAAAACACAACCAAAGAACTGCAAGCCAGGGAGCAATCTTCTAAAGTTTGCCACATGCTATTGGTTGAGAGCTTAACACACACACACACACACACACACACACACACACACACA